AAAGAGTGTTTCCTGGCATGTGCAGGAATCTCAGTATCGTGATGCCGCCTTCTTCTTCCATACGAATGAGGAAAGCTTTACCTTGTTATCTGCTGCATTTCTGTTTTAAGTAAAAATTTGAAAGTTTGTGTCTCATTAAACAGAAAAAAAAAATGGTGCTGTAAAATAAATGATTAAATTTTGGGAAAAGGGAGCACTGAGGCCAGTGACTCCATGAGAGGGTCAAATATGAGCCAGCAAAAGGTTAAGCAAGATTAACCTCCAGTTGGGTTTTGCTGGGGGTACCTGCCTATCTGCAACCTGGCTCTAACCATTTGGAACCTAACTTCACTAAGATCTGAAAATCTACCCAGCCATTGTAAAAATAAAACAAAATGTTTTTTAATTTTTAAATTTAAATTTTGTTTTAGACTTACAGAAAAGTTACAAAGTTGGTACAGAAAGCTTCCGTATACCCCTCACTCACTTTCTCGTTTTGTTAGCATCTTATCTATGGTTCATTTGTCACAGCTAAGGAACCAACCTTAGGACATTACTGTTGGGACTTCCCTGGTGGCGCCACGGTTAAGAATTTGCCTGCCAGTGCAGGGGACACGGGTTCAATCCCTGCTCCAGGAAGACCCCACATGCCGTGGAGCAACTAAGCCTGTGTGCCACGACTACTGAGCCCACATGCCGCAACTACTGAGCCCTCATGCTGCAACGACTGAAGCCGTGCGCCTAGAGCCCTTGCTCTGCAACAAGAGAAGCCACCGCAATGAGAAGCCCGGGCACCGCAACAAAGAGGAGCCCCCGCACACCACAACTAGAGATAGCCCACGTGCAGCAACGAAGACCCAACGCAGCCAAAAATTAATTTAAAAAATAAATAAATAAATAAATAATTCTTAAAAAGGGATGCTACTGTTAATTAAACTCCACACTTTATTTGGGTTTCTTAGTTTTTCCCTAATGTCCTTTTTTTGTTGTTCCAGGATCTCATCCAAGATACCACATTACATTCAGTAGTCATGTGTCCTTAGCTTCCTTTGTTCTGTGACAGTTCTCAGACTTTGTTTCTGGTGACCTTGACAGTTTTGATGAGTACTAGTCAGGCATTTTGTACAATGCCCCTCAATTTGGGTTTGTCTGATGTTTTTCTCGTAATTGGACTGGAGTTATGGGGTTTTGAGAGGAAGACCACAGGGGCTAAGGGTCATTCTCATCACATCATATCAAGGACATAGGCTCTCAATGTGACATCACTGATGATGTTAACTTTGGTCACCTGACTGAGGTAGTGCTTGCTAGGTTTCTCCGCTGTAAAGTTACTTTTCCCCTCTCTTCATGTCAGTAAGTGCAGCCCACACTCAAAGGCTGGAGATTGAAGATACACCTCCTTGAAAGCAAGGAAATCAACATAAACTATCCAGAATTTTTTTTCCATTTCCTGGTGTAATGCTTTAAATATTTTTTAAATTTTAATTTAAATTGTTTTAATTAGCATACAAAGTATATTAGTTTCAGGTGTACAATGTAGTGATTTGATATTTTTATACATTT